ATCTTCATTTTAGATGTCAAAAAGTATTTGCGGCTTACACGATGTCATTAAATAGAGTCACAACCAGCAAAGGTACAGATCTGACATCATCATAAGATGACACAACGTCAGGAAGAAAGTTGATTAACAAAGAAATATCCCAAAGATATTTTGGGTGTTGTTGTTTCTCCAACTCAAAGAATCCATCAGCATTAATTAGCCTCAGGTGAGTACATCTGCCAGCAGCACATGTCATACGTACAGGTGAAGTCAGTGGTTGTTGACACCTAATTAACACCAATATTTATGTAAGTTCTTAAGCAGTACAGTATAGCTAATTTAAAATAAAACTTTTATTAACTTTTATTATTCAACCTTCAGAACCTGTCAATTACAACTAATATAAGACAGAGTCTACTATTTAAAATTAAACACGATCAGTTTATACATAAAAGCTTTGTCTAAATATTAGTGGGAAGTTATGTGGCTTAGTGCAATTATCTGTCAAGACAGCCCGTTCTCACTCCCGAGGCGTAACATGCTGACGTTTTGTCACGTCCCGCGGCGTTCCTGAGGAACGCGAAAGGAGACCTTCGGCGTTCTTATGGTACGCGGCGGGTTATGGGTGGAATCCAGTGCAATGACGCTCCCGCGGTAATAGACGTTCCAGCCCTGTATTCCAGCCCTAAACCTAACCTTATCCCTAGCCCTGACCATAACCTTTTTCCTGATCTTAACCAGGACTTGTTATGATGTTAAATAGCGTGTTTCTCAGCGATTTGAAGAAAAAGAGCGAACATGTGTAGATTGAGTCCTTACAGTTGTCATATTTCCTCATTTTTCCGAGGTCGTCATTTAGGAACGTGGTGGGTAGCCGAAAACGTAATATGTTGACGATTTGGCACCTAGCGTAAAATGTTACGCTTTGGGAGCGAGAACGTGTTGGTCAAGATACTAATGTCACATTTTTGATTTGTAGTTAAGCTTTTCTGTAGCATCAGAAGTTCATCATTTAACTAAGCACGCCACATTAGCTCTTTATTTATCAACTATCAATTTTGAAGACTTTTACCATAGTATCAGACCTTTAGTATGAAAGAAGGTGGAAATCACCCGATACCCCACAACTATAAATCATTTATTTTGGTTAAGTACTGCAGTAAAATGTATAGTGATTTCTCATCTTTTTTTTAGCTGCACATTAAATCCTTAAGCTCACATTTGTCAGTAAGATAAAGTTATCTCTCTTCAGTTATTTATTCACTTTGACTGCCAAATGAGCACACCAACACTAGCACTAAAATCTGCCATAAATATTGCCATAAGACAAAATCTTATCAGGAGACCCGTGCAATCATCAGATCCATGACTTTGTAGCCTAGAGGCAGTTTTGTGAAATTAACCATGTGCAGTACTGGATGATTAATTGGTTGAGCTGATTTAATGATCGCTTACTCAGGTAATGTTATCTCATGATGGTGGTGCATGAGATATCCCCCAGGTATTTTAATTCACTTAATAAAATATCGATATTTGGTTTCCTTGTTGATACAAAGCCACCACACAAAATACTGCAATAACAAGTAGTATTGAGTTTTTTCCCACTCCTAATAAATGTGGCTGTTGGGAAAGGCCATGTGTAAATTTCAGTGGTTTATAAATACTTTGACCCAAACTTTGTAACAAAGCAACCATGGACTCATCTAAGCAGCTTTGTAGTGGTCTTAAAACTTGAATAACAGATTCTTCCATCAGACTCTTTTTAATGTCTTTAAGAAATCGTAGCTGGCATTCACAGAGAAGATCAAAGTGGTCAAAGAAACCAAGGAGACTTTTGGAAAGAAATGGTTGCAGGTTTGCTAAAAAGACAAATTAGCTTCAGATGCAGAAAGAACTGACTGCATGAGCACAAGTGTCAATCTGGGGGCTGGAACCACAGTAATAAATAAAACTGCTGTTAAAACTACTTTAAACGATGTGACTGGACTACAGTTTGTTAAACAGTGGGCCTGAGCCTGAAGCAGACTGATAATGGCCCAATATATGGATAGAGTGGATTCAGTTAAAAGCTAAGCAAGGACTGAAGTACTAGAAGGGCAGAAGTTACTACACACACACACACACACACACACACACACACTGTCTTTTAAAAGTAATGTAAAAAGAGGAAATCTTAAGCTTTAAACTGTACGGCCCTGTCAATCTCGGGTATTTAGTGGTACATTGCACATTGAGTCACACCCACCACATGTATGCACACACAAGTTCATCAGTATAATTGTTATTAATCTACATCCTGTTGCTTTAATCAGCACAGAAGAAATCCACATTCACATTCAGCAGCTCATCTGTGTTTTTCACTTCGTGTTCTATGCTTCTCAGATAGACCAATGCTGCTACAGACAAAAAAAAACTACAGCAATAGTGGTCGTTACTTAAAGCAGCAGAAAGGAAAGCAGAGATGAAAAAAATCCACTATTGCATTCTTTTATAGCCATCTAATTTGCCTTTCTGCATTTCTTCTTGCCTGAAGGATTAAAGACCTACATATAGACCTAAATAAAACATGTTTAGGTCTATTTGTCCATGTATAACATGTATACAACACCACTTGCAACGCAGGAGGTCTTTGTTTGTTCTTCACGTTTACCAGAGGCCTGGGAGCTTGTCTTAGTATAAGTTCACAGTATCTCAGCTGTTCCTAGGGCTATGCAGCTATAACGTGCAGTGGCCTGCCTGTCGTCCTGTCAGAAACAGAGTAAAACACAGAAAAAAACATTTTGCAAGCCTTCACTAATTCCAACAGAAATTCCTATAGCATAGAGGATGAGGATGAGGATGAGGGAGGGCCCTCCCCTCCCCCCGAGTTCATGAAGGCTCTGCTTTTTATAGGGCTATCTTGGTTGGTTCTGGGTCAGTTTGACCCAGTTTTTTGAGTTCTTATGTTGTGGTTTGATTTTGTATTGTATTCTGATTCTTTTCCTTTCTTGATTATTATTAGAATTCTATGTTTCAGTTTATTCTAGTTAAGGGGTTGTTCTTAGGTTTTGCTTTGGTGTCCTCGTTTTTTCCTGCAGGTGTAGTCCGGACTTTAGTCTGCGTCTTTGTGTTGTTATTTCCTGTTTTATTGTGAAGGTCCATGCCTTATGTCTGTGTGTCTAGCTTCGCTCCCCCTGTCTCGTTAGCCCTAATCTCTCCCAGTTGTGTCTCCCTCCTGTTTTCTATTCCTTGATGACTTACTCAGTTTATTTAAGCCCCGTGTTTCTTTGTGTCAGTGTCGCGTCGTACCCTCAGAATTGCCTGTGTGTTCCAGTTTGTGTTTTCACGGTTTGGTTTCTGTTGTTGTTTCGTGCCAGCAATAAAGCTGAGGTTTTCAGTTACAATTCAGTCTCCGAGTCCTGCATTTGGATCCTCATCTCCGCCTGCCCGCGTACAGAGCCCTGACAGAACGACACGACCAGTAATGGATCCAGCAGACTCGGTGAGGGAGCGTTGCTAACCTTTTGATGGGACTCGGCTAGCGCTTGGAGGGCCTCCATGCTGCCATTCCTCGTTTGCCACCTACCCCTCTACCCACTCATCCGTTTCCTCCCCACTGTTGACGCCTGCATCTCGGACCCGAGGAAAGCGCTCCAGGCGGCACCGGGAGGAATACTATGAACCTATGAGCAGCCAGCTCATGCCAGCACAGGCGTTTCATAAGATGCTGGGGATCATCATCGTTCCCCCAGTTCACCCAGCATTTCCCAGGAGCAGCCGCGGCAGAGCTTGTCCACATCATCGCAGTGGACAGATTTTTCCACGTCACCTTCAGCCAACCCTGATCCCTCTTCAACAGGGAAGCGGCACACGCGTCGCCAGCATTCACAGCTCCAGCTGGAGCCTGGGATTTTTTCTGGACAGCCGGCTAGGGTGAGTGGTGGGGCTACTCTTTTGCCTCCTGCTGAAATAAAAACTGCTAATGAAATGATTGCTTATTTGAAGGACAATTATCCCAGTTCATTGAGCTATATAAACTGTCCCACACGTGTTCTTTCTAAGCCTCTCGATGAAACCAGGGAGTTTTGTGTCTCTAAGCTTCATAATGTTCTGGGTGACTGTCATGCTTCTGAACCCGTCAAGCATGTAAAAACTGCTCCCAACGCCCCCAACTAAACACTTCTGTGAGAACAAACAACGTGTGTGTCATCCCAGAGACTTGAGTTCATGTCAGGCAACTAGGAGCTGTTAATTCAGAAGTTGCATGGCCTATTCCCATGCCCATGTTTAAGAAAGACTGCTCCTCCTTTGCTTCTTTCGGGTCAACAGTAGCTAATACAAAAACTGCTAACAGCATGTCTGAAAATCAAAAGACTGTTCGTCCTAGTGTTGAGTCAGGTGGTTGTGAGCTAAAAGCTGAAACGAAGGGTCCTGAGGTTTCTGTTAAAAATGCACTGTTGCCCAGCCGCCACCAGCTCAGTCTACCACTCCACCACCTATTTCACCTCCACCACAATCAGCCCCGCTACCTGTAGCTCAGTCTTCAGTTCTGTCAGCCACTCAGCCACCATCACAACCAGCATCACTACAACCTTTATTGCAGTCCATAGCTCAGTCATTAGCTTTGTCACCAGTTCAGGCTCCAGTGTTGTCACCCATCCAGTCAGCCACTCATCTACACCTTCAGCCAGGGGCCGCAATGCCTTGGCTTCGCTGCCGCCCTCCGGACCTGTTCTGTCGCCGCCGCTGGCTTCACGGTCGGCCTCCGTACCTGCTCTGTCGCCACCACTGCCTTCCGCGTGGCTGACCTCCTGATTTGCTTTGCCTGCGTCGCCACTGCTGTCTGCACGGCTGGCCCCCTGAACTGTTTTGGATGTGGCTCATGTGCTGGACTCAGGTTTGGTCTGGTTTAGTTTTGTTTTGAACTGTTTTCTTGGGTTTCTGGAACCATGCTCCTTGTCTTGTTTTGTTTCTGAGGTTTGTTTCTGTCACAATTTCTAATTTTCAACTGAAATAAACAAAAAAAAAAAAAATTTGGGGGGGGTTTACTGCTTAGTCCTTGACAGGCAGTTTGCCAAGCATGCTGTCCTCCATCAATTTCCTGTGAAAGATAAGTTTATCCAATATGCAAACAACCAGAAAAAGCTGCTGGCTCTTCATCTCAACAAAATACTGGCTTCTTCTATACTCATTCAGTTTATTGATCTATTTAACATCAGCTGTGAGATATGCCACCAAGTAGATAAGATCTAAAATTTCCTCTTTTTTTATTTTATTTTTTTATTTCCCACGCCCATATATTTTTGAATTGTGTTATTCGTATCTACATTCTGACTCACTAGACTAAAAATATGATGAAACCTCCTGGTGACTATACATAAAATAGGTGGTTGCCAGATGACTTCACTGCATTTTTTTTATTATTAATTTTTTTTTTTTTTACAATCCTTTGGTAAGCAGCTGGTTCTCAGATGTTTACGGTGATGTCCACTTAACTAATTGGTTGCAAGAGAATTGCACAGGTTGCTTGGTGGGAGCCAATATGCCTCTAAACAATCATAGTCTCACTTGGACAAAATACAAGCCCTCACGGAGAAATTACAGAAGGTTTGCAATTAATAGACATCTCACTTCTAAACCCACAAGACTGCCAACACATTGCATTACATTTTATTTGTCTTATTAGTCTGTAACACACCTCTTTGCATTTCAGTAAAACTCAGCATTGACAGTCTGACCATGGGGGCAAACTGTACAATACAGAATCCTGTGGATGTGGAATATGACAGTATGCTCCTGTACACCACATCTCACACTCTTGAACTGACAAGGCTTTGGGGCTTGAAGACGACGCTTTGGGATGTAGACCCAGCTCTCATCATTAGGTTTGGTTATCCTCAGGATTTCACAGATCAATTCCTCATGATACAGGTGACAGGAGTGATATTGCTATTCATCATCTGGCATCATATGAAATATACTTCCACTAAACTGTAGTTGCACTGTTAAACACAGGTCGCTAGTTAATTGATCACTTAACTTGCATGCTGCCACCTGATAACTCAAATCTACCCAGCAGACACATACAATTTGTGTCAAGGGCTAAAATACAGTTTAAAATTAGGTTTTTATTTTTAAAGTAAGATTATCACAACAGGGCTGGTAAAAATTTGTACACAAATGTCAGTTTCTTCCCTGAAAACATAAAAGTGACAATGCAAAGTCACTGTCAGCCCAGCACTGAGAAAGGAAGAGATGCTGGACAAGGTGTGAAAGAACATCAGGTCCCTCAACTCTGATCATATCTACACTCAGTGTGTCTAATTACATAGATACAATACCCTTGGTAATTAGAGTGGTGCCTATAGGCTCATTTTAATAAACAACATTCATAATCAAAATCCTATCATACAGAACTACAGACTATTGCAGTTCACATTTATATAGCATAAAATTTTCTACTCTTATCAAAAATGGTGCAAAATTAAACATTTAATACAAATTAAAACTTGAATACAATTTGACAGGAGAGACAATTAAAGATATGATGGAGAAATGGATGGGCAGTGAATATAGAGAGACCGAGATGAAGAGAGGCTAGTGCGACAACCGAAAAGAATGAATGTCAGAATGAAATGCTGAAAACTACAGACTACATGCCTTTTGGAACAGGAGTCGTTGGATCGACTCCAAACCAGGGCGTCTGTATCCAGTAAGGGTCCCTAGGCTATCCGTCAGGTCCACGTAAGGAACAGGGAAACACTGATAAGAGGTGGGATTCTGGAACAAGAAGACATAAGTGGACAAGGAATGATGAGAATCCGGTCTTTAAGTGATGACGTGACGAATCCTGCTTCCGGGTCCAAACTGCTCTGCGCTTGAACCCATGTTGCACGGAGAGGCATTTTTTGAAAAATGCATTGATAGCAATGTTGAATATTATACACAGGAAAAAAACAACTACACGTAAAGTAATTACAGTGTGACGCCTCTGCCTTTCTAAATGGAGGGACCGTAACTGTGTGTGTACATGTAAGCGTGTAAAACCTGCAGATAGTCAGATTAACAGTATTTTGTCTCTATCTCCCATTCTGCAATTCATCTCATGTAAACAATAACGTGCGCACAGCATGACGTGAAATTAATTTAACAACATTTACCAACACAACGGAAGCAGGATTCATAACGTCATCACTTAAAGACCGGATTCTCATCATCCCTTGTCCACTTATGTCTTCATGTTAGTGATGTGTCGGTTGTAAACAAAATGGCTCTTAGAGCCGGCTCTCTGAAGTGAACGACGCGAGCCAGCTCATGTTTTTTTTTTTTTCTTCTTTCTCTCACCCTCTCGCTCGCACTTTTTTTCTATGGGCTCAAAATGTGGTCATAAATATTTTGTACTTGGAAAAAAGATTTGTATGTGTAAAAAACAACAATTCAGTTAGTTTCCAGTCTTTCTGTAACATGTTCCATGAAAAAGGCGCAGAGTGGACAAAGGCTTTCTTACCCAACTCTGTGCAGACAAGGGGAAATTTGTAGATTTCAAATGTATTTACTCCTTCAAACAACATTTCAGCCCCAAATCAAACTGAAATTTTTGCTCTGTCATGTAGTGCTGATTATCCATCCAGCCTACCTACAAATTAAACACACAAATTCCAGTGCTGGTGTCCTTTGGCTGTCAGATGCAGCTCAGATTAGAATTAAATATGAACTGAACCTTTTTTAGCTTATACACTTTTTTAACAACCCTCCAAAAGGTAGCTTATTAATATACTATATTTATGGCTTGAAAAGAGAAACCCATGGGCCACTTTAGTTACCAAGTTACACCACCTGACTGACTCCATGATTACAGCTGCACAAACTATGTTTGAAAATCTTTTTTTAAATTATTGAATTACTGTCCTGTGGTCTGGTTTTATTTTCTGATCAAAGTAAATAAATATAATTCTCATTGAATTTATTCGACCTTACACACACAACACAGACATCACATGGGGATACAGGTCGGAGATCGGTAGCGTTACAGAAAAAAACACTGAAATATACACTACAATGGGAAAGTACAAGAGGAAAAAAAGAGACCTCTACTCATGCTGGGCTCCTGGGAGGACAGCATGAGAACAGGAAACAAAAAAACTCCTCTGCACAAAAAAGCACATAAATGTCCACAGCACAACATTATGGAACACGTGACAAGCCACAGGGTCGGGTGGGGGGTGAGGAGTAATCCGAAGCAAACACAGCAGCCATCCTGCCCAGCGCTACCATTCCAGTGCGGGCTCAGACCCGCCGTGTTCCCAGGAGGGAACAAGCATCGAAGGCGTTTGGAAAGGGAGGGGGGATGAGTGTGTGCATATCATCCATCCATGTATGTTGTTATGCCATTCTTCAGAGGTCGCTGTGATGCCATATCGCCCAAGCTCGTCATAAGGGCGTAGAGAGCAGATGTGTACACCCTGGACAGGTATTGCTGCCATGAGATCTGCTCTACGCAGGATGCCAGACACACAGAGCACAGCTACCATTTCACACTCACATTACCCACTCTCGCACATTCCACCACCTGACAGTGACAATTTGGATTAATCAACTTCTTAACCTATGCCCCACAAGCTGGCATGTCTTTGGAACTGGTGGGAGTGTAAGCCGGTATAGCTACCTGGAGGAACTCCACACAAATCACCGGGTGAGCACACAACATGGACAGAATCCAACAGAAAGACCCACGGCCTGATTGTGGAATTGACTCAGGACCTTCTTGCTGTGCGGCAACAGTGCTAACCAGCGTGCCACCGTGCTGCCCAGTGTGTGCATATCAGTGTATATGTATGTGTGTGCGTGTCCAGAGTTCAGCTGAGACAGTGTCCTTTGCCCTGCTAGGCTAAGTAAACAGTCTTTCAGCCAACCCAGGTGGCCGCGAGCTTCGCCATACTTGCGTTCTGTGATGTTGTCATTTCTTGTGCTCAAAGAGGCAGTGTGCCTCCCTGAGATGTCATCCAATTTGCGCTCAGAGATGTTATTCCGAGCGAGCCCTTCCGAGATGTATCCAGTCTGCACTCAGAGATCTTATTCTGAGTATTCACAGCAGCTTCCCAGATCTATATGCCAGTCAGATCTTCGAGTATTACAGACTCTCAGATTATCCGTGCTGCACTCAATGAGCCCATTTTGAGAAACTCACGCCTCTTCCCATCGTTTCAATCCCAGCGGGCAGCCTTGTGGGGGTTTGAACAGCCGGTTCCGCTTTCTTAATTCTTCGATAAGTCAGGGCCAAGCCAGCTCCGATCAGCAAGAACCCTGTTATCCATGGTTCCGAATAGGTAGATATCTTCAGCACTCAGGCTCACCCAAGCCCAAACTTCTCGTTGAGAAAGGGGTGTCAATTGCATTTAGGGACCAGTTGATCAAATCCATAATTCCTCTTTTAGGTTTTAGAGAACAGACTGTGAGAGAGTGTTCCAGGGAAAAGTAATACAAAAAACACGAGACTAGACAAGGACATAAGAGGCTAAGCAGGGAAGCTAAGGGAGAGGAGGAGGAGGAGAGAAGGAAATGCGACTGCCTTCGTCAAGAGCAAGAGCAAAGAGAGAGATCCTCTGATGATCAATCAAACTCACAAATTTAGATTCTGTTTGTGTCGACGCATTTTTGTACATCTGCACTGAAGAAGGTGGTGCGCACATGTGTTTTAAATGCTGTAGGTGGTGTACCATTCCCTCAATTGCTTTTTGTCAGCCTAAACAACAACCAATCTATTCAGCTATATCAGAAATTTACATCTTTTTTTTTATTGGAGGTCTTTGAGAGCTTTTCATCAACTGCAGTTCAAAATGGGAAGTTGCTGAAAATTTCTTTGGCAAAACTGGTCACAATCAGACAGATCCTGTGGAAAAACCACAATCCTGAAATGAGTTTCTATATATTTCATCAGGTGTTAATATACCTGGGTGTCCCGGTCAGGGCAAATGTATGAGAAACACTGAAATGCCCAATAAGGTTGTCTCCAGCACAGAAGGGAAAAAGAAAGAGAGGAAAAAGGGGTCAAATCAGTTAAAACGCTGTTACTTTCTCTCCCTGTTTCACATCACGTCTTTGTGGACATGACAGTTTGCTTTAAATGACTTCATTACTATCTGTTCTCGAGATCTCTGTAGGTCTTGTGGTATTTGTACAGGGAGTGCAGAATTATTAGGCAAATGAGTATTTTGTCCACTTCATCCTCTTCATGCATGTTGTCTTACTCCAAGCTGTATAGGCTCGAAAGCCTACTACCAATTAAGCATATTAGGTGATGTGCATCTCTGTAATGAGAAGGGGTGTGGTCTAATGACATCAACACCCTATATCAGGTGTGCATAATTATTAGGCAACGTCCTTTCCTTTGGCAAAATGGGTCAAAAGAAGGACTTGACAGGCTCAGAAAAGTCAAAAATAGTGAGATATCTTGCAGAGGGATGCAGCAGTCTCAAAATTGCAAAGCTTCTGAAGCGTGATCATCGAACAATCAAGCGTTTCATTCAAAATAGTCAACAGGGTCGCAAGAAGCGTGTGGAAAAACCAAGGCGCAAAATAACTGCCCATGAACTGAGAAAAGTCAAGCGTGCAGCTGCCAAGATGCCACTTGCCACCAGTTTGGCCATATTTCAGAGCTGCAACATCACTGGAGTGCCCAAAAGCACAAGGTGTGCAATACTCAGAGACATGGCCAAGGTAAGAAAGGCTGAAAGACGACCACCACTGAACAAGACACACAAGCTGAAACGTCAAGACTGGGCCAAGAAATATCTCAAGACTGGTTTTTCTAAGGTTTTATGGACTGATGAAATGAGAGTGAGTCTTGATGGGCCAGATGGATGGGCCCGTGGCTGGATTGGTAAAGGGCAGAGAGCTCCAGTCCGACTCAGACGCCAGCAAGGTGGAGGTGGAGTACTGGTTTGGGCTGGTATCATCAAAGATGAGCTTGTGGGGCCTTTTCGGGTTGAGGATGGAGTCAAGCTCAACTCCCAGTCCTACTGCCAGTTTCTGGAAGACACCTTCTTCAAGCAGTGGTACAGGAAGAAGTCTGCATCCTTCAAGAAAAACATGATTTTCATGCAGGACAATGCTCCATCACACGCGTCCAAGTACTCCACAGCGTGGCTGCAAGAAAGGGTATAAAAGAAGAAAAACTAATGACATGGCCTCCTTGTTCACCTGATCTGAACCCCATTGAGAACCTGTGGTCCATCATCAAATGTGAGATTTACAAGGAGGGAAAACAGTACACCTCTCTGAACAGTGTCTGGGAGGCTGTGGTTGCTGCTGCACGCAATGCACGCAATGTTGATGGTGAACAGATCAAAACACTGACAGAATCCATGGATGGCAGGCTTTTGAGTGTCCTTGCAAAGAAAGGTGGCTATATTGGTCGCTGATTTGTTTTTGTTTTGTTTTTGAATGTCAGAAATGTATATTTGTGAATGTGGAGATGTTATATTGGTTTCACTGGTAAAAATAAATCATTGAAATGGGTATATATTTGTTTTTTGTTAAGTTGCCTAATAATTATGCACAGTAATAGTCACCTGCACACACAGATATCCCCCTAAAATAAAAATAGCTAAAACTAAAAACAAACTAAAAACTACTTCCAAAAACATTCAGCTTTGATATTAATGAGTTTTTTGGGTTCATTGAGAACATGGTTGTTGTTCAATAATAAAATTATTCCTCAAAAATACAACTTGCCTAATAATTCTGCACTCCCTGTATGTGAAACTCCATCTGTCATTTTA